CTGTCGAGACAGTGCGCCAAGACTACTGAATAAGTACTTCCGTCATCTACGTTTTGCTCTCCTACTTCTTATTTATGAGCAGTTTTCGCGGTGGTTGACTGGAGCTTGTGATATTGTGCACGGAGAGGTTGCTGCTACGGAAATAATGGCTCTTAGATGATTTACACGATTCAGAACCGTTAAACCCGGTCTTAAATACTCAACAAGACAAAATATGACGGAGAAGCCAAATCAAGGAGTCTGTAGGGTCAGCCAAGCAGCGAACTGTTTGAAAAAGCCTACAGTCAAGTGTTCGACACGGTTCATCTCTAGGGATTGTTGCACAGAATAATGGGGATTGAGTCAGTTGCCGATTTGGCTGTTATTCTTTTTCTGGGACCCTTCGTCAATTTGAGTCAGAACTCCCACACCTCTGAAGGACAGGTGAACATTTGTCGAATGATGGACGTTTTCACTTAAATCTCTTATTTCATACCGATAGCTGAACTTCTTGAAACTCGAAAGGGCAGTGTTCAGAGGACGAGATGAAATACAACATGCGTGAAAAACCCAAAGTCAAACTTAACGCTCGGTATTGAGGCTTTTTGACAATTTCTTCCACTGTTTTGAAATTTACAAGACTTTTTCTAATACAGTTTCAATTCAATACGAAGTTCGCAACCAATTGCTTTATCGGAGAGCTAGGTAGCACCAATAGTATCGCCTACAACTTCGTGATAACGAAAAGGCATCATTTGTGACCAAGTTCTGAGAGAAGATGGGTCGTGAATTCACGAATGAATGTTCGGATGAGATCTTCGGATTGAGACATTTGAGACATGTTTCATTGGAAAAGCTGACAAGAGTCGATACAGAATTGAAGCCCCTCAATGATTACGGATAGCGAATGTGGCATCGAGGTGTGATGGCAAGGACTTTTTGAACTCAACTCCTACCATGGACTTCTACGTATGCCTTGTTTACAACCCAAAGGGTAAAGGAAGTGGTGGTCGTTCATCTATGTTAATCTGCCATTAATCTCTGATCAGCAACGCAGTCATTAATGAATTTGTTCGACAGATATCCTTTCACGTGATGGCATGCTCCTAATATGCTGATGGTTATCATTTCAAGCCTCTCTTGGGGGCTACACAGCTGTTTATTAATAAAGACCTCGTGAAGCTCAGAGACGGGCACCTGGATTGCTGATGGTCGGCGACCACACTGCACTTCGACGTTTTCAACTGGTTCATTTGGCGATACTTTTGTCTAAGGTGATTGAAAAATGAGACTGATTAGCTCGATCGACCATCACCTATGGGGGAGGGTAGGTGGTATGTGGTATAACCTGGTATGACCCTCCCCCCGCATAGGAGATGGGTGAGAAACAGAGCTTCAGTAAGAGTGCAACTGAATAATTATTTCCAGTTAGAGAAAAATCCGAAATAGGATTGACAAATGGATCGAAATAAATCAGAAGTGGAATAGTCAATACTGGCATTGGTTACTGAACGACTATGACTATTCAATCAGGATTCCTTCCGAAGGGTTCGACCCTGACAGAACCACCTTCACCACGCTTCCATTGCTCACCTTCCTAGCGAAAATGTGTCGGATAAAGGAATTTTAAATATTCCCTCAGTCAATCACGAAATCAGGAGAACAGCCAACGTAAGCAGAATTATAGGAGTTATTCATAACACCAATTTTTCATGCGCAGCAAGTGTATCCAGTCATACAGCTATGTTAGAGACCTATAGAATGACTTTTTTCTTGATGTTTCGAAAGTTACGTTTTGAAGCTGCTCGTGACAGAACTGCTGGCAACGACATTATTAGTCTTTTGGCAGCTTCCCCGTGAAAAATCGAGTTTATAGTGTTCGAAAAAAATTGCGAGGAACTCATCCACCCAATTATTTCATATCTAGACAGTTTGAAAGGACGATTCGCGGCGCGATAGTCTACATTGGCGCGTCGAGCGAAAACCTTTCAACTGCAGCAAAATCGCCAAAATCTGATTGACAACGATCCTCGTTCATCATTCTTCAGCGAATTCTTGAAATCCTTGACTAGTCTTTTAATCTACGTTGAAGTGCTTGCAAAAATTACTTGAGATCGCCTAATGGCTTAACTCCTTGCAAAACTTTTTCAGAGTTTAAACATAAAATAGTGGTTGATAAGATTATTTTAAAACCTTTTCATGAATAAAAAGAATAAATTAAAAAGAGTTGATGAATGAAGAAACTAGTTCTCAAATGAATAAACTGAATAGGTTCAACATCTTTCTCGTACCGGCCCTACACATGATAGTATGACGTGCATAGAACATCTCACAGCAAATTTCTGCGATTTTTCAGGTGAAAATAACTGGAAATGATACTAGAAGCCTTTTATCCTGAAGTCTTTTTTCATAGCAGCAATCTGTGGACATGGTCCAACTTGAGGCAGGACCGAACCATCATCATCGTTTGCCTGCACTGCAAGTATTTTAGTAGTGCAGCCTCTTCCTAAAGGGAATTTTCAGGGCACCTTTTCAATTCGAGATTTTTCTTAAACGATTAGTATACGGCCTCAATTGAGCGTGACTGCGTTAATCAAGGCCAAAAAGTAATTGTGAAGAGAGAGTGTGTTCCCTCCAAAATGCCTTCAAGAGTGTCTAATCTAAGCCTCATCAAGTAAGTACATAAAAATGCATGGACGCGATAACATGCTCCATGTGATCGGACCACATGGTTACAATTATTTATAAGGCGAACGTCACTTGCGTAGGAAGGTTCCAAATCGGCACTGATCTTAGAATTTTGTCATGCGAGTGCGAGTCAAGCCTCTTTTGCTGTCATAGTAGATATAATGAATTATGGCGACGATGCCCTCAACAACATCATCAAAAATACAACCCTATAGTGCGTTTCATAAGTATAAGATCACCCTCAAGTTTGATCTTTACAGGATAAGCAGCCAAGTACGTTTCGAGCACTACTGTCAGATTCGCCACTTTGAATAACCCCCACTCACGGACATCTTCTGAATCAACTTCTACCATAACATTTTTATAAATAAGTTTTGGTTTTTGCACCGTTTCATAAGTATAAGATCACTTTGGGAACTTGAAAACTTTATCATTATTAGCGACAATAGGAAACAATTAATAAACAACGAGTCTTCCATGGTCTAGCCCAATATCGAAAAGCCTACGTAGCATATACGAATCTTGGTTTCGAAGTACGTCACTGAAGATTTCATTCCAGGATTCCATTACTGCCTGCTTGAGCGTTCCTGTCCTTTGGAACTGACGGTTGTAAATCTTTCTTACAATGATGCCCCACAAATTCTCCATCGGGTTAGATCGGGACTCCAAGCTGGAGATGCCAGAACTTCGATATTTTGGGAATGGAACCAGTCTTTCGTGGAATGGCTAACGTGGATCGCAACATGCCCTGCTGAAAAACATAGTTAATACCACGTCGCCGGCTCAAAAATGGCACCAGATCCCATTGTAAGACTCCCCGGTAGTCCTTGGAGTCCGGACTACCAGGGAGTCTTACAATGGGATCGGAGGTCACAAAAGCAAGCTCTAGCACGACATCATTGCAGGAGGCGCCCCGTACCATGACACTTCCTCCTCCACAATTACGGCGGTTGGAGCTGAACGGCTCTTTTTGTAAGTCACGCCAGTAGTAGTTGTAACCATTGGAGCCGTCCAAAGTAAACTCCTTTTCATCAGAGAATACGACCCGGACGAGCATATTCAACTGTAAGGCTGATTGGTAATACAGGCTGATCTTCGTCAAATCTCTTTTAAAATTCAACTTCGCAAATTCAAATAGTCCTTTTCTGCGGCGGTCAGTGACCTCAGAGCCCTCTTCATTGCTGCCCTGGCAGTGTTGCTACTCCTTTACACGGCTCTCCATACAGTAGTTTTCGACACCGAAAAACCCAACTCCGATCGAACTTGGTTCAACGACAAGATTCTGTTCGAAATAGCTCTCAGAATGCTCCTCTCGTCGTTCGCGGTTAGATTGCGCGGGCGTCCTGCCCTCGTGGAGGCTCTGTATTCTTCAAATATCTTTGAACGGAGCTGAGGGATCTCACGATTCCCCCCTTAATTGCCCTCGTACTGAACCCTGTATCACGGGAATTTCGATTTTGTGCTTTTTCATCTAAAGAAAGATGACCTCCGCGAGGCTAAGTGCATATTGCCTCCAAACATATTTGCGAGACTTTCTCCCCTATACAGTTCCCTCCAAGTGCAAATTCTGCTGCACTCGATTTCGAAACCTTCGCGCTGTCGCGGATGATCCTATACTTACGAAACGGCAAAAAAAACGAAAATAATCTATTTAAGTGTTAATATAAAAGTGGAGCAAACAAAAGGACGTATAGTGTGGCGAATGAAAGTGAGGAATCTAATGGTGGTACCAGAAAAATATCTGTTTGGCTGCGTCCTGTAAATATCAGGTTCGAGGGTGATCTCATACTTAGGAAAAGCATTGCATAACTTCGCACATTCATCCTTAGACTGTTCTATTGGTTTCATACAGAAAGTATTACAAGTGAACCTTTGGCCAAAAAAATGAGTGAAAAGGTCTAATGCTCAGAAATTGAGTACTCATAGCCTTATGTTACGGGTATCCAACCGACCTCATGCCAAATGGTATTCGAGGCAAGTGCTCGCATCTTAATTCTAACCGCGGCTGATTATGAGCACTTTTTACAATCAGAAAGTCAAGATCTGGCTATCCTGTCACTCCCTAAAACAAACTAAAACGAAACATCAACAGCTCCAGGTGAAAGTACTAGTCACACATCCGCCTGGAATGGGTAGTTTGATGAAAATTTTCAGACCTTTCTACTTACGCCCCTAGATCTACAAGTAATAGAAGCTCGCTTCAGTAGCACACTGGTCCGCTAATGAGGGTGCAAAATAATCGAATCTTTGGGGTATTCAAAGAACAGTTTCTTGGAAGATTCTGCTTGGCTCATTACTTGAAATAGTAAGGGCTCTAAATATCAGTTCTTAGAATGGTTTTGAACTTAGAACTCACCGCAGCCTCGTCCGGTGAGTCGTCGATCACGAGATGCGGAGGAGACACCATCGGAGTGATTCTGCGGGTGCTCTACTGGCTAAATGTGTCGACACGCTATCTCAACTGGGAAGTGATCAATGACTCAGTTTCATGCAAGATCGGATGCAATCTACGTAAGAGATGAAAACAAGTGTGTCCATTCCTCACTTGTAGGTATACCTTCTACGTAAATAGCGTTATTGGCTTGAAGTGATAAACAAAGTTAATGGATCACAGCCATTAGGTAAATATAGAAGTCACTGCGTCATCATCACCACGCAGCTTTCAATGTGGTAGTTGTTGAAACCCACTACTCAAATTCAAATTCAGGCCGCGTTAGTTCCACCACATTTCGTCGATATTATTCACAAGCGCTATGGAGGAAGGAAAAGAGTGTAGATTGTATAATATAAAATCGTTATTGAAGGAGAAGCCTACCATGTTAGTGTAAATTCGATTGACGAGTTACTTCACCTGTATTATTTATCATAAAGTTCACCCATGATATGCTTGAGCGGGCGCCTGGAACAACCCCATTCACCCTTACGCGTGGATAGTGTGAAACTTCTTTAAGAAAGTTCCGAACAAAGGGAAGCAAATCCTTCTATCGTTGTGAGGGTGTAAATCTGACGTCCGCTATTTGCTTGACGTCCAGTAATCGCCCTGGTACATAACGCCAATGTCACATTGCATGTCTGGAACACATAACCTTCATTACCTTGCCATGTGTAGCACCTACCTCAAAACCCTGATATCCGTTCACCGACGGAACTAGAGATTTTGGATTCTTCTCTATATTATAAAGCTAATGTAACAAGTTCCTACTACTTGGGTAATCCCAAATGTGCGTAATCGCGAAACGGACATTCCGAACCGAGATGGAAAATCTCGTTTGAGACTTGGCGATTTCGCATGACGGAGTTTACTTGCATAGCGTATAAATAGCAAATTAATCTTCGTCACGGTACAGCTCCAGATCAGGCTCTGATCGCCACAGCGACCTCTATCAGCAACAGAATTTCTCAGTGTCTTTATGCTGTAAGAGAAATTTTCGAAAAATGAAGACCTCTCAAGTCTCTTTTTCCTCAACGAATTCAACTCGAAGCGATTCAATCGCAGCGGCAATGAATCTCCTTATACTATTACCTACCATTCTGAAACCACGGAAAGAAATATGTTGAGGAGACGGGAGTAAAACTCCTTGTAAACGGCCCTCATCCCGACTCTCCGTGGTTTGGGATGGTTTGCACTTCGGTTCGCTTAAGTTCAGAAGAGATGCTTGGGTTTGGTTTGAATGTGGCTATCGTCCGAAATCTTTGTTCATTGTTTCTACCTTTGAATAAGTTTCGAGAATGACGTAAAACAGATAGTTTTCTCCGATACTTAACTGAATGAGTAATGGTTTTTGTCAACTTCAGGATGAAGCTCACCTGCATTCTGATATCCTGCCTAATGTTTGAAGTCTCACTGGCAGTGCTTAGATGTGGAAACGATGACATCCAGCAAGGCATCGCAAAAGGATTTCTGGTAAACGATTGCAAAGGACGAATGGGTAGGTTTTGATACTGCATATAAGAAATACTCAGGTTCATAAAACCTCAGTTCATATAAAATCCCTTCTTGTATTACATAAGTTCCTAACTACACTGTTTCATAAATCTAATTTGCACCGCAGCTCCAGTATGGCAAATGGCATTTGCAAATCTACCGTATGTTGTACAAAATAACTGGTCTGGACCCTTGCCGAAGGTCTCACTAGCGCGCACATTCAGATTTAATTTTGAGCAGCGTAGAAGCTAGGAAAAAGTGAGTCTACCCAGCCTCGATAATGCCCTCGGAAGTTGATAGAGCGCTATAATCCTGAAAGAGCGGTATCGAAGTGAACAATGACATCTTTGGTGAAAGTACGTTCTCATATGTCTACCCCATTACTGTCTGTAGTCGAAGGAAGGGCTATAGAAATTAAAAGATGCCCTCAGCACCACTTTTTCGTAAAATTCTGCGCCCTCGAGGGAAAAAGTCCAATGTACGCATTCCATTTTAGAACAGTGCACCATACCGTTCTCAACTAGTCTCTCTGTAACGAGGAGATTAAGAGATCGAACTTAGTTCTAGAAAAATTTCACATTCAGAAGTTCCTTCTTCAAGGGCAATTTGAGAAATGAAAAATCAGTGATCATCAGCAAAATACAGGCAAAATACATGCAGGTTTTGATGGGAAAAGTTTGGAAACATAAACGATTGATGCTTGAAAGGTGCTACAGCGATAATGTTGAGTTGCATAGGAGGCATCATTGGATGGAAATTAAAATTTTTCAAGCATTCACATATTCTTTGTAATAATTTGTATGAGTTTTGCAGCGATTTTTTGAATAACACTCATTTTCAGGTAAGATTGATGCTTGCTGTGTGGCTCATAAAAATTGCTACGAAAGCAGGGCACCACAGAATGTTTGTGACGACACATTTTGCAAATGTGTAGAAGACTCGGCCAGCAAAATGCCTACTTGCACGGTAAGTCTAGATCGGAAGGCAACCTGACGAGAATAATTTTTCTGAAACTTGAATTCTTTTTGAAAACTCCTCGGATTCAATCACCAGCTTTCGTACTTCCCATTTGAGTATGGATCCCATGCCCATATCTACGTAGTAACAATATTTCCAGTTCCATGCCGGCAACTTTTGCACATTTGCTCGACTTTTTGGAGCTCTCCAGTATAATAAACCGCGTCCACCTACAATTTGAAGCTGAGCTCGTCTGACGGTTTTCTTATCCCTTCCTCGATTGTTAACAGAAAGTTATTTTTGAGTAACTGGTATACATTGTTGTACAAATGTGCTTACGTATGTTAGACTTACTTTACGTTGTTAACGCAATTTATTGGAGCTATTTTCTACCTTTGCCTTCCACGAATATAAAAATAATGTAATAATAGATGGTTAATGATAAGCGTAGCTGGTGTCTGAACAGCTTTCATTTTTCGAGTAATTATTGTAATGTTGCGCAAATGGCAGAGATAATATCCGTATAATAAAGAGATTTAAAACACTGGCATTGGGCTTGATGAACGGTTTTGGAGGCCTCTAAATTCACAATATGCAGACAAAACCTACCTCATCAAAGTCATCTCAATAGTTACCTCATTTTTCAATGCGAATGATTTGATCATTGCTCACTACTGTGTGTATAGATGAAGTTTTGAAAAGTTCACGAATGTGCAGTTCAATGAGGAACAATGNCAATATGCAGACAAAACCTACCTCATCAAAGTCATCTCAATAGTTACCTCATTTTTCAATGCGAATGATTTGATCATTGCTCACTACTGTGTGTATAGATGAAGTTTTGAAAAAGTTCACGAATGTGCAGTTCAATGAGGAACAATGTGGAAGATAAAGATGACGTTCTTAGAATCGAAAAACCCCAGTGGTTCATTCCGCTTATATGAATCCCATTCCAATTGTATTTGATAGCGATTAATAGATGTGTGTGGCCTATGGAACCACTTGCGGAGCGATTGATGTTTACGAGTTTCCAGTCTGATACCGATTTGCCGACCAGAATCAATAAAACATAGACAGGTTCGGTAGACTAGGTATCGATCTAGAATCATGCCCTCCAAAATGGGTACATGGTAGAGGACAAGTTTCACTCGACCTTCGTCTTCATCCTTCGTCTGTCATATGTGAAGGTAGAGGGCTCTAACACTACCAAATGAGGTTATCACATTTGCGATGATGGTGGCCGGGCGCAGGGTGAGCCGCCTGCCCCATTCATAGGGTATGTTCAGTCCGCTCCTGTTTTGCCAACCGGCTGGCCGGCTACAGCTGGTCGGTATAGCCAGGCAACGCGATGGTGTTGCCCACGGGCGGGAGGAGGGGGAAGGAAAACATCCTTCCCTGAACCTAAGAACGACGAAACGCCAGTATATATCCGACCGGCATCCACTTCTCGCTTCCAAGCTAATACAGTTATGCAAGCATCCGGATGCGGTTGCCAAGGAAGGACGAGAAGATGGAATAAACAATAGAGGCTTTCTATATTCTAGCTGAGTGGGGTCCGCTATTGAGAAGGTCTCCTCGAAAAGCAAAAGGTAGGTTGGTCCCATCCAAAGCGTTCATTTATTCCTGCTTCTTTGTAAGGTTAATGCTGGTTCCTTGGTAATTACCAACATGTTGCTCAGCTATTGTTTTCCCTCACTTTTCTTGTGATGAGTTGCTATTGATTGTGGTGCGTAACTCTTATGATAAGTCAGTATACCTCACTTGTGTTAGACAACTTGGGAAATGGTCTGGTAGGGCCCGTTAGTCGAGGGGCAGGGGAGTGGGTCATACAGCCTTCTACCATACAGTCCTAGTGACAGGAGCAGGGATTCCGGCGGGGCACTGGCTTGGAGAACTGTTTAGCCCACTCCATGTGGGCACAGAATGGATGTTGCAGGATTGGTAATCATAAGGGTGGCCCAGAGGGTGACCGAGGGAACAAGACGATTTATATTTGCAAGCAACCGAAATAGCCTATCCAAATCTGCACAGGGTAAGTTGAAATCACTCCGCTCTTACAAATTGGTGATCTTAGCGTTCATGTTTTGCTTTTCTTGGCTTCTTATGCATATATGTACATCAGTTTCACAAATTAGCCGAAAAGTTTGGCATGCCCGAGCCGTCATTTCAAAACTCACAACTGAGTTTCATAGGCTTGGCACTGCGCACTGTCAACAATATTCAAAAAGAACGAGAACTGCCTGCAAATCAAGCGGTTCAACTCGACAAGGCTTAAAAAAGGCCTGAAATTGCTCTGGGTAAAAAAGGCACTAATCCGCCGTAACTTCTAACGCTCTCAAGAGAGTCACATAAATCCAGCTTTCTTTGGGACGAGTTTCTTCTTTGATCATCCGTGTATATGTGCATGCGCATGAGTTTATGCAACAGCATCTTCAAAAAACACTGCAGACTGAAGCCTTACTTATACAGCCGTTGTGAATATATGAGCATGCAAATCTGCTATTATTTCGTCATGCTGGGGGTCTCCTACGGCCCTGTTTGATATTTGACTACACAGTGAAATCGAGAACTTTTTGAAAGACAATATATTTGATGCCTTTGCACAAGGGGTATCGCTTTCCATCGTGAAATTTCGGTTAGATCTGACTCGAGAAGATTATGTATGTATGTACCTGGTAATTCAATATGAGGAAAACGAAGATTTGTTCCCCATAGAACAACTATTTAAATACGGCGAGGAACGTGAACAGCCTATTGAGAACATCTCTGTACTGAAAAAATAAGAAAGGGATCTTAATAAAGTATGGTGCACACAAAAACATAAATCTCCCGCCCGACCTAAGACCAACCCTTAATTCAGTGAATTCTGGTTAGGAGAATTGACAGAGGAACTTTGTGAAGTCAAAACTCAAAGCACGATAGTTGATCAGTGAGGAAGGTCAACGTAGAAGTTTTTATCAATGGCAGTTTGTTGAAATATACGCAATAAAAGTCTATAGAAAATGGTTATAAATGGAAATGTAGTCATAGAATTCTGTCTCTGATTTGTTGAATGAGTGGCCTATTGAAGGGTAACGGATAAAAAGAGAACGAGTTAATCAAGCATGAACTTCCAAGGGCTCAAGTTCTCCACTTCCCTCTGCAGCTCTAGACGGTTCCTTCACGAACGAAGCAGACGAACTCTCCTCCTGAATTGCTGAAAACGATCAACTAAAGAATAGCAAGATGATGCAGTTGGTGTTAATCTATCCCGTTTGAAGGATTCACCTCGCAATCGAATTCCTTTCGGAATCGTGATGGGAGTGTGAATACGTATTTGGCCCGTACAATGAATCTAGTGTGCCAGCCGATAAAAAAGTGAGTACTTTTATCCTGCCGGACGAATCCGGCGCCAACCAAGTGAACACGGAGGAATAAGAGACTTGGTTAGTATCAGCGACTGTCGATCCCAGCCGCATTCAATCCCCGGGCCATGCTTCTCTGTTAGTGCTGCATTTCCCACTACACCACTTTATCAAAGCATCTGCAGCACAGAAAGATCTATTTCTTTAGTAATCATGGAAAAAAAAGTCTCGCTCTCTGATTATTGACACCAAAACGCTTAAAATGCATTGATCGGATTGAACGCCGAAAACAACGCTTACTATCTCTCGCTCCTTAATTGTTTATCATGAACGACATGATGGCTGTTATTACTAAGAAATTTTAGTTGGTTAGGATTCGAGAGTGCCAACCTCAGCTGCATGTCTTCAGACTAGTATTCTCCTTCAGTCTTATGATCCATCAGTCAACATGGATGGAAAGGGGATGATTTGCCCGTTGAACAATAGGTTGTTAACTGGAAAATTCAGGAGCAAATCAGTAATGCCGCCGGAAACGGTTTGATCTTGTAGCAGTGAATTGCTACCGGGGTGTCTACGCACAGCAGTGGGCATTCATAGCAAGCAGTCTATTCTCTAATGTACATCCCCCACCCCCACTCCGCTTCATCTATCTTTTCGGCCTTCTAACTATGAGATACAAACCTCGTTGCTTTGTCCGGACCAGCGGTGAAATAGGGAACTATTAACAACTTGATTTCACTTCCCTCTATCGTATACAGCTGCCATCTACCTTGCTAGACTCTGCCCCTGCTTTCTAATGGTTTTCTTTTACCCAATATGTTGCTTCCATTATATCTCTGCCGGATTATTGAGTCAGGTTAATGCACACTTTTGGTTGATTTGTTTGATTGGACTTGTGGCCACTCTTGTATGAACCACTTTGAGAGTATGTATCGATGGGCTAGGCTATTCTTATCCCATCACCAGCACTATCCGTCTAGCCATACAGTGTCTTGGAAGGTTTGTTATAATGAAAATCAAAGAAAAGGTCCAAAAGGTGACCTAAATTCAAAATTATTACTCCAACATATTTACCTCGGAAAGAGTCGTCGGTGATTACCTCTTTTGGGAGATGGATGGTATACCTCGATCCAGCTTCTACTCGATGTTCAGGTGAAACCTGTTTTTGGTCGTCGATAGAAAAATATATATCTTTCTCGGTTAGCTCTGCTGAGGATGCAACAGTAGAAACCGTCTCGGTCTCGTTACCTGCAAAACCCCAACAATTTCGCTATTAACCTGCTATTTATCAGAATATCACGCTAAGTACGTACATGTAGATGGCTAATTAAATTAAAATTACATCTTCGAAACTCCCAATGGTATTTTTGAATTTTTCTTCCGAATCAAATTTATGAAGTCACTGCGCAAGCAGGACCTAAGGAGTTCTTTTTTTATTAAACATCTACGTACCAATGACATTACCATGTAGTGAATCGTCCACATTGCCCGAAGACTCTTCGAACTGGTCGAACTGTAAACAGAGCAATCATGAGTGGTCCCAAATTCAAGTAAAAGACAGCAATGGTCGGAATGTAATGTTTCCTAGAAAACAGTGTGTATCATGGCACAGGCCAATTCGTGGTCATGTATAAAATTAGCACGAATTTACTTTGAATATTGGTAGTTCTGGCAGAACTGTTCCATGAATCAAAACTGATTTTTACCTTTTCTGTCAATTTATCGTATTCTGCAGGTTTGTGCTGAAATATTTGGCTTATAAACGTAGAAAGGCTTACGCTTTGGGCGATCACTCCGCTTCCTTGAAACTCGTCGTCGGAGTCTGGGTTGTCAAAAGGTGAAGCTCGATGAAAGACATTTGACATTTTCAGGAATGGATTCTCGACCTCTACAGGTTGGGAGAGTGGATTCGGCAATGCCGTTAAATTGGCTCTCTGAATCGAAAGTTCACCGTTGGAACTTAAGAAACTAGTAATTTCGATGGAGACGTCATCTCAGCATTCAACCAAAAATGTCACAAATTTAGTAAATCGAACGTAAAATCTTTCTGAACAACCCTTCTTACGTTTTTCTCCAAATACATCCTCTTGATTTCGTTGTCGAGAGCTGGATCAATTCGGAAGCTGCCGCGTTTGCCTTCACGTGCGGTCAAGAAGGAGCACTGATGTGGGAGCAGGCCACCCAAGAACGACGCCAGGTGGCTAGTAGAGGGAAATAGGATTGAGTTAGCATCATTGGTCGATAATGGAAGCGTGAGCATCTCCTGAAATGGTCTGAAATTAAAGCAGAATAGGAAGGGGAAATCAGGAGAAGATAATCGAAACGGACCAGAAGCAGTGAACCGGCGGTGCCTTCACAGAGCATATTGTACTTTGTCCTAGTGCATCCCATGAGACACTGGGCGATCCTAAACTTGCGGATATGGTTTCGGGTGGAATGGTTAGTAATAGAT